TTTCCTCTTTGTTGGTATTGTGCTAGACTGGGCCTTTATTATCTCACTTTTCAAAATTTCCCAAGCCTCTTGAGTTGTTTTCCCCTGGAGGATTCTCATCCATGGAATCCTTCCCAAACCCTCTCTAAGTTTATTGAAATTAGCTCTCTTGAAGTCCAAGACTCTAGTTTGACTGTGTTCTATTGCTTGTGCTTCCATATTGTTGAATTCCATATTGTTTCTTTACAACTAATATCTTCTTATCTAGTTTTAAATCAAGAGGATAAAATATACCTTCATTGTTGAAGTCATTGATGATCTCTAGGCAAACTGTCCCATAGCCTCAGGCAATGGAACAGTTTGCCTAAAATAGTAGTGAATTTCAACCAAGAGCCACATGTTGCAAGCTCCTTAGTGAATGTCTGCACATAGCAGAAGGTGATTTATAAATATCTTACAACTCTGATATTCTATGATTTTAAGGAAAAAGCTCAAATGCAGTAATCTGTTCTCATAAGATCTGGACATTTTTAATTGTCCTGTTCTGCATAATTTCTAATTCAATATTTTTGAGGTTTAACAAAATAAATTGTATATCGTATTCAAATGTGAGGTGCATGATATATTCATGTAGCATTACTACATTGGCAGTTTTATTTTTTATTCCTTTTCATAGCACGGAATTTGCCTTTTTTCAGCTGTTTTCAGCACATCAGGTTGAATTTTTATTTTTATTTTTAAAATAAATTTTTATTAATTTTTCATTAAAGGACAAAAACATAAATCTTTTATCACAATATCATACAAAAATAAGAAATCAACATCAAACAATACATTCACGGAGGTGTCCGGTGTCCCCCTCCCGCACCCCCCTCTCACTTGCCTAGACCTTCCTCCTCCTTATCTACCACCACTCCTCCTTCCTCCCTCTGCCTACTTCCCTATCACCCTCTTTCATCCCGTCCGTGCAGTTGGGGTATCACCAGGCACCTCCCTGAAAAATCGTACATATATATATATACACCTAAATCTATATACCAACCTAACCCTTTCCCCCCTCCCCCCCCAAGACTTCCCAAAGCTAACCTAGGAAATCAATACACAATCATCCAATGCTAATCAAAAAAAACTACTCATTACTATTACACACTAATACAAAATTACTATGACTCTAAAATAACAATCCATATATAATCTAATTTTTTCTAAATTTTAATCAAAAGCAACATAATAACTTTTCAATTCATACTTTCTCTGAATATAATCTATCCATCTTCTCCATATTAAAATGAATTTATCCTGAGAATGATCCTTCAGGTATGCGGATATTTTTGCCATCTCTGCAAAATATGATACTTTCTGTCTCCATTCATCCATAGTTGGTAATATCTT